TCAAAAAAGAGTTTTTGACGTAATTAGCATTTGTCGCTTCCTAAGTTAAGTCATTATGGTATTCGTGGCAACGCTCCAGGATGGTTAGAGAGTTTCCTAAAAGATCGTGTGCAAAAAAGTTGTCTTAAAACAAAACGATAAGAATTTTTGTTCTAGTGGCGTTCCGCAGGGAAGTACATTGGGGCCCCTATTATTTATTATCTTTATTAATGACATAGTTTCCTGTGGATCAGATAATAATTATCTGTCACTATTTGCTGATGATACAGCTGGGGTTTCCTGCGGTGCCGACATACAGGGTGATCTCTCTAAGAGCTCTGAGGCGGTGACAGATATTGTTGATTATTGTACCAGAAATAGTCTTATATTAAATCATGATAAAATTGAATTGATTCATTTCTCACTAACCGGCATAGATAAGAGCATCTTAGTTAAGTTGGGAGTTTATTTCGATTCTGGTCTTTCTTGATCTCATCAAGTGGACCACATTCTCAAAAAATTATCCACACACTATTTTGTCATTTGGCAACTTAGAAGAACGGTCGATTATAGTCTTTTATTGCTATATTGTGATTCGTATATTCAGTCCTGTTTAAATTATGCGATTATTGCTTGGAACAATTGCTCCCGATCTCATGAAATATATTTGTTCCAAAAAGGGATTGTTCATACCGATACATTATTCCTGCAGAAATACATTTATTGAAACGCAGATTTTGACATTTCCCAGTCTATACATACTGAATTCGGTAAATCGGTTAAATCTAATTATAATGAGTATATATGTACCCGTGTAACCAATGAACATTAGTTTCAGAAAGAATTATACCTCTGGATGAGAAGGATTTCGGGCTGCGATCAGTTTAAGGCTGATGTGAAATGATTGCTTATCCAGAAGGTATTTTATTCTGTGCAAAAGTACCTGCGGTGCACTTTTTAATTCGTATTTTAACCCACGTTTATCCATTTCAACTTGTGTTTGTTTTTTATAACTCTAGGTTTTTTTGAAAATGCTGTGTATCTTTTTTGGTTGTGTATTTTGACATTATCCTATACTTACAATGTAAGTCGTATGGAATTAAATTATATTATTATTATTGTTGTTATTATTATTAAGTAGGGGCTTTTGCCTGGCCAATGGCCAATCCATAGTTCCGCCGTTCCCTATCCAACCCCTGGGATATTCCATGTTAGGTTGCATAACATTGCTGCCATATAATTAGTGCTGATATATTTAGGGGTAAAACTTGGATATATTGTTCTATTTGGCGCTCTAAGAGCTGCAAACAATGATCTACAGTTGACTTTTGAACTATAGATACCGTCTATGACAGCACACCCAGCATTTTGTGGTTTTCTTTGGCTTAAGATCTCTAAAAACAAAAAAGTGACAGCCAATTAAAAATTGAAAGTTTAAAAAGTCGCCTTACTTTTTTTTTTAACTTATAAATAAAAACCGGCCAGCGTCAAAAGCCAAACCAGAGCCGAATTAATAAAGTGTATGACGTAAAAAAAACGTTTCATTAACGTGACGTCAAAACGATCGTTGAGCTTTACGAGCTTGCGGCGCACTTAGTAATCAACTTTACTACGCAATGGCGCATTATTTGCCGCGAATAAGTATAAACCGGCGTTTTAATGACACCTGTGCGAGCTAATGGCGTTTTTATGGGAAGTTGAGGATGCGGGACGACACAGAGACATCTGCCAATTAATATGTCGTTAAAAAAAAACGGCGAAGCCCCCAAAACAAAGCCTGAAATTTTGCGGAAAGCCTCGAAAACCGAAGTCCCAGTTGCGTCCAAGCGCCAGAAGTGTGTGATTTTTTTTTTAAATGCCGTTTAATAAATTTGGTATTTATTATATATATATATATATATATATATATATATATATATATATATATATATATATATATATATATATATATATATATATATATATATAATGTAAGTTCTGAATTCCTCTCTGTCTCATCAGGTGTACCGCAAGGTACCGTCCTCGGACCTATATTATTCTTAATTTATATTTCTGATAGTTATACATCGAATATATGAACTAGCATTCATTTGCTGATGACACTCAGCTATTTTACTCCTTCGATCCTAAATTATTTGATATTGCTTCAATTTATATCAATTTGGATTTGCATAACTTATTTCTACATTCTTCTAGGCATAATCTTCAACTTAATGCTAAAAAATGCATTGTAATGTTCTTTTCTCCTAAACCTAACATTGAACAATTATCCCAAATGTATTTATTAATTAACGGTGAACGTTTGAAAATTGTCAATTGTAATAAAAACTTTGATGTTATATTTGATTGTAGACTTGGATTCGTGGAACATGTATCTTTGTTGGTGAAAAACCCCCTACAGACACTCACTGCCACGATATCGTTTATATTTGTTCCGCAGAACATTTTTTTATAACGCCGTTGTAATTTTTAATAGTATATCCGATTCAGTAAAATCACATTCAATTAAATTCTTTAAAAAATATTTCAGGTTGAAACCGCTAACTTCTCAAATAATTTGATTTTCAATGTTTTTCTTTTATTTTTGCTTTCTATTATTCCATATTAATATTACATTTATCTATTATACTATATTTAATTTATCAATGTAATTATAACTTCCTATTTAGTTCAATTTCAACATTTAAGAGGTTAAGTGGAGTAGCTTTTGCTACACTTCGGCTCTTCTGTACTGTATATTTGTATATAACAATATACAACAATAAAGGCAAAGCCCCAAAAAAAGCCTGAAATTTTGCGGAAAACCTGGAAAACCGGTGTTAACAGCTGCTCTCAGTAGTTGATTTGATGCCCATTCCATTGACTCCTTTCGCCCTTGATTTTCCCTTCCATAATCCTCTTTAGCATCGCATATTTAGATCCTCTGATCACGTGGCGAAAGTATTCAAATTTTCTTCTTTTTAGAGAGTTAATTATTTCCTTCTGTTTATGGGTTCTCTGTAGCAGTGCCATATTGGGAACCCGTTCAGTCCATGAGATCTTTCAAAAGCCCCTATCTTGTCCATATCTGTCTTTTTCAGTGTTCATGCTTCTGACCCGTAAAAAACTTTTTGTTCTTTACAAATGCACTTCTGGCTACCTCTATGTTTCGTGCAGCCATGTTCCTAAGTATTTGTATTTTCTTACTCTTTGTGTTGTCTAAAGCAAGAATTCCGTTAACATTTACTTTATTTGTAATAATGTTTAGTCCATATCTTTCACATATATCATTTAGCCACTGCAGGAGGGTTTGCAGATCTTCAAGCTTAACGTAGGTTGTTTAAAATCTGTCCGTTTATGGTAAACACCCTCCTGTCGTTCATCCATAGGTTCATATGTGGTCATAATATTATTTTTTCTGAATTCATCATAACCTATAATAATTATAATCGCCCAAAACGAAATAATTAATTAATCGAAATGTATATATTAAAAAATAATAAATACACAAAATATTTACATCTCCCATTATTATACTTTCTAAAATGAAACCCTGATATAAAATGGTATACACATAAAGATAAATTTATAAAAATAAAAATTCCTGAAACAATTGGTATTTATTTGATTAATCAATCCCATGATATAGCGAATATCTTGGCACCCTCCAAAATTATGAATAATTATCCCATCGCATATAAATATTAAAGCTTTAAAGAAAGCATGAATTAATAAATGAAAAAAGGCAAATCTGCTCTTCCTAAAAACAATATTCAATACAATACAATTCCTCTTTCTTTGAAAGTCCCATCAGCATTACTTTTTAAAAGGAAATTAACACTACAATTGTTTAGTTAACAAACACAGTGCAGGTGATTTTCGAGTTTAGTTTCCAGATTTTCAAGCCTATTTTTGATTTTTGTCTTTTGTTTATGTTATATACCGTAGTATTTTACTATAAGTGTCTGTTACTCAAACGAATCAATAGCTAGAAGTAGTTGCTATATATCATTTTATTTCAACAATTTTTTAATTGCTTTCATCTCCTTTTCTGCAATTTATCTATTTATTATATTTATTATATTTATTATATGTATTTTTGTTATTATTACTTAATATTATTACTATTATTATTATTATTATTAATTTTTCAAGGAAACGTCCACATGCTACTGTAATGCTTTTTACAAAACTTCTGGATCCCTCCTGCGTCGGTTTTTGCTTAGTCGAAACAGTTTCAGTCAAGTTCTGAAGAAGCCAACAGGATGATTGGCGAAACGTCAGCAATTTCGACTAAGCAAAAACCGACGCAGGAGGAATCCAGAAGTTCTGTAAAAATTATTATTATTATTATTGTTGTTATTATTATTATTATTATTATTATTATTATTATTATTATTATTATTGTTATTATTATTAATTAAGGATTCATTCTAAATTGCAAAATCTCGATTTTCTTAAATGGCACACCCTATATATTGTTATATTTTCTGAAAGATCTTGCAAAAAAACTACAACGTTTACTCAGTATATTATTTTACTATTTTTAATACTTTGCGACTTAATTTAACTTGATATAACAATATTTGCACTTATCTCTGTCTTAGTCTATTGCTACAACGTAAGTTGGTCATGACAAAATGACAGTGTGTTTGTATTGTATGTTTGTATTGTATTGTACATGTGTATAGTGGTGACAGTAAATAAAAAAAAACAAACAAACAAAGCGTGGATTTTCCTAAAGCTGAATTAATCGATATGATTTATATACTGGGTGAGACGCCAAAAATACTTTACTTGTTATATTCGTTTATTTTGAACACCCTGTAGCACCTAATTCAAATGCATGGGTTGCATGTCTTTTACTTCGAGTTATGGTAAAACTAGTAATTTTTTTTAGAAAAATTAAAATATTGAAAAAACTTGAAAATTCTAACTAATTAAGAAATATATGTTGCCTAACAATTTTTTTTATTTGCCGTTTTCTCATATCTTTCGAAAGTATCCGGTACGTATAACCGTTAGTTTCCGTATGTTTGCAGGACAGGCCGGGGTGAATCAGCTAGGAGGGGTATTCGTTAACGGACGTCCGTTGCCGGACTGCGTCCGCAGGAGGATCGTCGAGCTGGCCTTGTTAGGAGTCCGGCCCTGCGATATTTCCAGGCAGTTGCTGGTATCTCACGGTTGCGTCTCCAAAATACTGACGCGTTTCTACGAGACCGGATCCATCCGACCGGGATCGATAGGAGGATCGAAAACCAAGGTACCCGTCACTTATACAGGGTGTCCCAAATTTTTAAATTAGATAAATCCCATAAATGTATAAGAAAGTTAGTCAAAGTTGAAATCATAATCTAAATTTAAAATATTTCCGTCGTTTTAGAAGCGTCGCGTTCTTATGAACAAACCTCTATGTCTATAAATTAATGCCAACTCACGTTATATAAAATTCCTCACCTATACTGTGCCTATACAGGGTGTTTTCTAATTGAATGTCAACAATTAGGGGGGCGATTTTTGGGTCCATTTTAAAAAGGAAATTTCATAATCGTATGTCCTATACGTCTTAACTTTTGAGATACCGGGTGATAAAGTTTTCAAAAATATGTATTTTATAAAATATCTATAATGCCACTTTAGATATTTTAATGAAATTTGACACGCCTATTCTATGTAGCAAGGCGCATTATATAGTGTACCGCAATTTTTTTTAAATATACCAGTGGCGGGCGTACGGAAATTCACTATCAGATATTGATGGTACGCCACTGATCTCTCTTAAAATATTTCTAAAGAAATTTAATTACTCGATTTACAGATTAACCGATCTGCTGTTTAAAAAAATAAAAAAATAAAAACCCCTCCTCTGCATGGTCATAAGAATATCGTTATTATGACAGCAGAAATTATTTTTTATTTTTAAGGTGAAATCTGCTCATAAATGAAGGCAAGGCAAATGCCAAATAATATTTTGGTTAATTAGGTCGCCAATGCACTGGTTAAATTGAGAACTTTTTTTTGCGAAAAATAAAATATCTATCTAAACTAAAATATCTAGTTTTTAGCTTTCAACTGGTGTCTTGGATGGTGTATGGCAACAGCATATTATTTGTGATAGACCAATGTTTAAAAGTAAATATTTCAAAAAGTAAAAATATTAGGCATATATAAAATTGCCTTAATTTTTAATGCTAAATGCGACAAGATTATAAAAATAGGTACTTTCCATTTAAAAAAAAAAGTTTCTTTGGCAGCATTTTTAATTTCATTTTTGATCTTATTTTTCTCGTAGCCTGTAATGATATATATCGAAATATCTTAGGAAAGCCGTTATTCGAGTCCTTTTTCTGCAACAAAACTTAATCAAGTGAAACAATAAATGCTTCCGAATGAAAAAATTGGCATATATTTTACGTCTTGCAAACATCATTTTTTGCGTAAAACATTAAATATGTCAAAAACGGTTAGGCTTAGCTATAGGACAAAACATGTCACACCCCGTATAGACAAGCTTAAAATATATTAAAGGTTTGTAATACCTCAATTAAGTTTTGTATTTAACTTTTGACTTCATCTCCTATAGTTTCGGAGATATACAGTTTCTACGTAAAACAAACAAGATTGCTTTCGAAAAATGGTCGTTCAGTCGGAGAGGGTAGCGAGGACCAGATTTTAATTTCAAAAGGAAGCCAATTAGGGGATTTTATCCATGAGGGACGCATCAAATTATCCCATCTTTAGCAGTTTTTCATTTAGAGCCAATAATTTAGCCACGAAAACGGAAATTTTAAGGAACTTAGATTTTCTGCCAACAATCGACACACCCTGTATATAATTCAAACAATGTTGGAAATAGCGGGGATAGCCCTGGATCTGCCACGTTTCCTGGTGTATGATTTTTTCCAATAGAGTAAGTGATTTTCAAGAAAATGCTTGTTTTCTGAAACCATGCAGTACCCCGTAATAATCAATGACGTTATGGCGTCTCGATTGAAGGCGAGAAATGATTTTTTTTCTCGATACCCTGCAAGTGAGATTTTTAATTTTTTTAAAATACTTCTCGACCCCCCAGCCCACCCAGTTTCAATAGGCTTCGCTACGGAGCTAGACTCTATATGTGTGTCAAATTTCAAGTGGATTGCTTCAAATTTCGAACACTTATCGTGATTCATAGCAGATGAAAATCGAAAATCAGTCCCATTTTTTACTGGTTTGTGTACCTCGTGCACGGCTTAAAAGGAGCCAAATTTGAAGGTCGTGCTGCAAACCTTTCAAAAGATATAGCCAATTAATGCCAGGTCTACAGAGAAACGGAGAACGGAGAACAGAAAAAAAAATTTTTTTTTCGACGCTGATCATTTCTGTACCGATGGCGGTCCCCTAGGACCTATGGATGCCGAGATATGTTTCGTTGCCAAGCGCGTATGAAAAATTCGATTTCATAGATTTTTCGAAAGCAACAAGAAACAAATTATCCTAACGCCCAATAACCCACAGTAAACGCACATTGTTTCGATTTGTCATTAACGAGTAATTTTGAGATCCAGCGCACGCTTGATTTTTCGATTTTCGATCGTGTTCGAAGTTTGTCGCGTTTTCGTAAATCCGGGCGGCCGGGAACAATATACAACGCGTCGTCGAATGACCCTCCCCCTCCCCATCCCTCCCGAACCCCATTATATTCCTAACGACATGAGAGATGATCGCGTAGCCGTGTAACGTGCCTGAACATTCACGCAGCCGACCGCCATATCGCCGCTAATATCTGGTGTTTACATAGGAACCTGTAAACATCGCACATGTCAAACATCGCGTTTTTAAATCAATCATGCGGTAATCGTCAACCGTTCGATTTTAATTTTTATCGTCGAAAATTAACGACCCTAGCGATCGTTGTGACGGAATCGTATCGCCGTTACTCTGCCAACTTCGCTTCTTCACTATCTGTGAGTGCGTGGCCGACCGCCCCGACTGACACACGCGTAAAAAGAAGAAGAACTACTCTTTGCTCTTCTATGAAAACCTTATGGGAACAGAGGGACATGAGGTTTTTTACTTAAAACTTTTAATCTGGAAAAGCTATACACAGTTATACGGTACAAAGAGCAACGTCTTAAATTAAAAGCAAAATAGTTACTTTACATGATTTAAACCATATACAGGGCAGCCCAAAAATGTAGTGCATTTTACAAAACCCCATTTTTTGGTATGCATTGCTTAAATGTTTTCTAAATTTTTCTTCTTGAATTTTTTGGAAAGAAGGAGCTTTCAATTTTATTACAATTTTTTTTATAAAACAGTAAAAACCAGACATTTTTGTAGCATTTTCATCATCTTAGTCGTTTTTGAGAAAGCCAGTACTTCAGCAATTATATTGAGATTATTGGTAAAGAGAATCCTGTCGAATATGAAATTTTGTAAATACCTAAACCTAAACATTTTATACTAGTTTTTTTTTATATTTGCTTTGCATTGGCATTTCATTTAAATAGTTTTAAAATTTGTAATTGGACGCACTTGTAGCTAACATTTAACGCATAAAGGTATCTATCACCCAAAATTAAATGATAATAAATTTACTTTTTTCTAAATAATTGTGTGAACTTAATTCTTCTTTAATTCAACGTCAACTTATGGTTCAATGGGCACGCGTCAGATGGCGCGATTGAAAAATAAATAACATTCAATCCTTCAAAGTAAGGTTAGTTAGTTAATTTTCAAATTAGCTGCGAATTGGACGTGATCTATCGTAAAGTGCTCTGTTTTCTGCTCCCGATATCGTTTCATTATTTCGTTAAATTGATATGATGTTCGACGCGTTTTGCTTATCGACCGGGTCGATATTAAAATTTAATCGACACTCAAGATTTGCCGCAATCGTCGCCGTTAATTGGTAATATACGAACGTTGTGACGATATCGAAGTTTGCCCCGACACCGTCGACAAACATAATAATAATGCCGACCCGAGAAGTAGTTAATTATCAACGCTGTCGATTACATTTCGATAGCACTGAGCCGCCATTGTTATCACGCAAGCGCGGAAAGGTATGGTCTGTTCATAGATATAAGAAAGTAACCAATTGCTTTTGAATGGGATAATCCAACGGTGGTCATTAACATACAATGCAACAAGATTATTACCTAAAGTTTCGGAATTCAAATCCATGGAAAATTGTGGTCCGTAAGAGAAAATTATTTTATACCTACCTGTGTTTAATATTCTTTGGTTTGGTATACTACTTAGTATAAGTTTATTAGTAATCATTCTTATTTCGTGTGTAATACAGCGTGTGTTGAATCGTGTGCGAATTATGCAAAATACGTGCGAGTCTAGTGTATCTCAGGAGACGCTCCCGCCCAAATGTAGAAAACACTATTCTATTGAGACTAAGGAAGTTATAAACAATGCTTATTTGACTCTCATTGAATGTGGTGCCATCAAGCAAGCATATTTAGAAGAAACGGCCACATTGACGAAAATTCCAACATAAAATTAAATAAAAATAGTTTATTACTTATCTAGTTGTTAAGATGTTATTTTATTTTACTAGAACTGTAAAAGTAACAAAAAAGCAGTCTTCCAATATTTTCCTCTTTGAAGGACACTAATTGATAACTAAAAACTTGACTAAGATAGATATAAAAAAGATTTCGATTTAAGCAAATTAACGAAAATATTATTTGTCCATAGGCACATCACTGATTTCCTTAAAAAAATGACATTTGCATTTATTGATGAGCAGACTTGATCTCTTTTTTTAAATCCACTTTTCACTTAAAAATAAAAACTACTTTCTCTGCATGGTATCATATTAACGATATTATTCTAGTCATGCAGAGAAGAGGTTTTTATTTTTTTAAGCGAAAACCGTACATCGGATTGGAAAAAATCAAGAAATTAAATTTCTTATGTCTGCCAAAATAGACAGGTGAAATTCCGTACACTGGTGTATTTTTAAAAAAATTAAATATGTTTTATTTTTGAAAACTTACTTATGTTCATATGAAGTTTTCTTTTTAAGATGGACCCAAAAATCACCCCCTTAATTATTGACATTCGATTAAACAACACCAGCCATATAAATTTTATGATGATTTTAAATCCAATGGAAGAACATCCCGGAAAGAAGTGAAGTGAAAAAGAAAATATGGGTTTCAGTAAACCATTTCAAAGTGGAGCGAAAAAGATGCCCTACAAAGTGGGGGATCTTAGCAAAAGATTTTTGTGAAAGTTTTGGTTCACAATAAAATAATTTCACCA